TGCCAACTGTGTGAAGAATAGTAGCCTCACCATTTCTATACTTAAATAAAAATAGCATCATCATTATGAACCATCCTATTAAGCTCATTAAAAAACCAACGATTCTTATACCAAAGATCCTTGACTTTAATATCAATAGCCACAGGACCACCATAAGAATCAACTAAAGCCCCCTTCCCCATCCAATCATCAAACCAAAAAGAACAATCACCTTTACCAAAATAACAATCACATTTGTCAATATCCCAACAAATAAGATCATTAGTAAGCAACTTTAAGTTAAGCATTTCACGCTAAATAAAAGAATCTTTCTTATTATAAGTAATAGAAAGAGGATGTCTATTCAAACTATATTTAGCATATATTAAATTAGCCCAAAGAGAATTATTCTTATGAAATCTATACAAAAGCTTCATATAATTAATCTTAATAGAATCAACTAAGCTACGAAAACCAAGACCACCCTTCTCAATGGGTTTACAAAGCTTCTATCATCTAGTCTAGTGCATTTTAGTATTACGATTACCTTCCCAAAGAAATTTATTGAAGAGATTTTCAATCTTTTAATAATACCCTGGGGAAAATCCATAATTTGCAAAGAGTAAAGAGGAAGAGAAGTAAGAACACTTTTGAGAAGAGTTACGCGACCTCCAAAAGAAAGAAATTTATTTTCCCAAGATAAACTCTTATGTCCGATTTTATCAAATAAATTTAAACAAAGGCTACTTCTAATTTTGCTTGTATTAAAAGGGAAACCCAAATAGTTCAGAAGCAGCGTAGCTTTATTGCAACCAGTATAATCCAAAATCCAATTATTTTTAGCAACAGGGATTCTCTTGGAACAATGGAGGAAACATTTAGAAGTATTAAAATTTAAACCAGAGACCTTCTGAAAATCAACAAGAGTGACCCAAACTTTCCTAATAGAAAATTTATTACTATTAGTAAAGATCATAAGATCATCAGCAAAACTTAAATGAGAAATACTCATACCACCTTTATGAATATAATTCACACTATGATAGATCTTAAACAAAGAATTTAAACATCTCGATAGATAATCAAATACAAGAATAAAAAGATAAGGAGATAGGGGATCTCCTTATTTTATACCTTTATAAGCTTTGAGAAATCATATTTGTTCCCATTAATAAGAAGAGAATAATAGTTGTTGCTAAGAGTACGAAAAATAAGATTGCAAAAAGTATCATTAAATCTATTAGCATGAAGAATATTCATAATAAAATCCCAATGTATAGTATCAAAAGCTTTCTTAATATCCATTTTAAAAATAATATTCCCTCTTATGCACTCCTTATCAATATCCATAAGGAGTTGTTGCACAATAAGGGCATTATCACTTATCTGTCTACTTTTCAAAAAAGCAAACTGGTTAAGACAAATAAGTTTATTTAAAATAGGTTGCAATCTCTTAACAATAATTTTAGAAATAATCTTAGATAAAACAGTATTCAAACTTATGGGTCTGAAAGCATCCCAAGAGTTAGCAGTGTTAACTTTAGGGATCAAGACAATATTAGAGGATTAAAATATTTAGGCAAATCATGACCACAGAAAAAATCTTGAATAACTAATACAACATCAGCCTGAATAATATTCCAACAATGTATATAGAATTCAATCGTGAAACCACCAGAGCCAGCCGCTTTGCCAACCTCCATCTGATCAATGATATCTTTAATCTCTGCATGACTAGAAATACAAGTAATGAGTTATCAAACGAAGGAACATCATTATAAAGAGAAATATCCACCTGTGTCAAATAAACATCATTATTACTAAAGACATTGGAAAAGAATTGAACACCACTTTGAGCAATATCATTGATATTATTGAGCATTGTACCATCAGGGCTAATGATTTTAGAAATTATATTAATTGTATGTCTATTCTTAATGCAAGTATGGTAGTAAGCAATGTTTTTGTCCCCATCCAAAAAATGGGTCTTAGCAGCTTTCTGAGCATAAAACTGCTCCTCCATATCAATAGCCTCATTAAGTTGTTGCTGCCCCAGAAACAAAACATCACATTCTATAGAATTGTTAGCAAAATCAGATTCAAGAGAAGCAGCCTTATCTTTAAGTTGCTCAATGTTGCGGTGCAAGTTCCCAAAGACCTCCCAATTCCATTTTCTAAGAGCTTTAGCTAAATTCTTATGTAAGCTCCAAAGTCTATACCCAGAAGAACCAATAACATTAGATTTCCAATTATCTATAAGAAACTCAGTATATTTTTTTATGAAGGGTTCACATATTATAAAATTTAAAATTATATTTCTTTATATTATTTTTCTCCATGATTTTAAGAAGTAAAGGAGCATGGTCAAAAGCATTAAGGGCCAAATGCTGAACTTTAAAAGATAAAAAATATTAATCCAAGAAGGATTAGCAACAAATCTATCAAGACATTCAAAAACATTTCCTCTATGCCAACTAAAAGGTTTCCCATGGAACTCCATATCATAAAGCCCAACATCCAACAAGGTATCATTGAAATTAGCAATTAGATTGAGATTCAGAGGATTTCCACCTTTCTTCTCAAGAGGAGAAGAAATAATGTTGAAATCCCCTCCCATAAGTCAAGCTTCATTCTCCTACTTAATAGATTTAATCAAATTTTAATGTTCCAAACGAGCCTAATTAGTACATCCAGCATAAATAATAGAAAAAAGATAAGACTCCTTAAGATAAAGAATTCTCAAATGTAATAATTGAGTGTGACTGATAAGAATCTTAATACTCACTGGCTCTTTCCATAAGAACCAAATCTTATTATTAGAGTTAGTAATATTATTAAAAACACCAATATGTCTGACATAAGCCTCATTATTCATGCCCGCAACCATAGGCTCAAGAACACCCAGAAATCTTAAATTATAAACACGAATTAAATTTTTAAGTCTATTAGAAGCACACACTTTGGCAATATCCCTAATATTCCAGATTAAAGTGTTAAACTTCATCAATAACAAGCTTACACTTATTTAGTCTAGTAATAATAGCCATAGAAGGCTTAGCAACATCCTTACCCTGCACCTGGGTTTAAATAGCCTCCGGATTCAAATAATGCACATCACAAACACCTTTAAATTTTCTTTTTTGAGATGATCTTTGAATCATCCAATCCTCCTCCAACTCATTTAGAGTAAGAGCAAGGCATTACTGAGTAACCAGTCCATCATGCAGAACCATTTGTCTATCTAATTACAAGATTTCAGGGGTACCAACTTTATTCGTATCTTGAACCATAACATTAGTATCAATATTACCATTCTCAACCAAATCAGTTTTAATAGTAGAGGTATAATGAATAGCATTAGCAGTTTCAGTAACCAAATCATTATCAACCAATATAGTACCCATATTATTATGCTCATTCATATAAGAATTAAACTGATCTTCTAAAGAATGCAAAGAACCATCTCCAGGAAGATTAGCCTTAGTGATTTTCAAATCAAAATGCAACTCTTTATTCATCTCTTTATTTACTTTTTTTATTTTTTCGCAATTCAGGATGGACATTATAACAATGAGAAAGAAGATGAACAAATATTTTGCAATTAGTGCAATGATGTGGTACAAATTCTTGTTCAGCCTTGTGAACATCATTAGAATTCCCCATCCAAATAGAATTGTGGAAAACCGAAGTTATATCATGTTCAACCAACACTTTAGCCATCGAAGGCCTAGACAAATTACAAGTAGCAACATCCATTTCAATGGCTTACCAAAAATTGATCCCAAGGAATAAAGAACTTTTGGATTGAAGTAATTTAACTTCAATCCAGGAAAGCAAATCCAAACAGGCACAATAGGGATCTCTTCGGTAGGATTGAAATTAGGTGTCCATTTAAGAAGTTTCAAGTAACACTTCTTAGTGGTCAAGATTTTCTTAGCAAATAGAGAGGTATAATCTTCTTCAAGCTGCAACTTAATCATTAAATTACGGCTATCGATTAACCTTAAATTCCATCCTCCATCCAGATGCAAATCCGAAAAGAACTTACGAATAACCTCCACTTTGGAATGAGTAAATGAAAATTTACCAATTAAAGTATACTTTAGTGGTTCAGTGAGAATGTATGTATCTGCTTCAGTAAAAAGAAGCACAGGTTTACCATTCTTGCGAGAGGCTTATTGAAGCAAACCTCCATTATCACTATCATTTATTTGTTGTTGAAACTCCTCAGAGAAACGAACTTCTCCAAACCCAAAAGATTTACCCGAAACCACATCGTTGAAGGACGACGCTGCATAAGCCATGGAAAAGAGCAGGATAGAAAGAAACAAGCCAAAATTACAGAGAAAAGATAAGCCTACTTAGGAGAAATCGAGAAAAGAAAGCTCCCAACGTAGAGAATAAAAACAAGAGACAAACCATCACAAAGAACCGAAGCAAACAACAACACCAAAGAGAAAATGAGAAAGAGAAACAGATCTGAAAGAAAAATGGACAAAAGAAATCGGCTAGGAATCAGATACAAAACAAAGAAAACGAACAAGAGCCGGCAAAATGAAGCGGTTGGCGCTGCAGCAACAGCGCAAAGAAACAGCGGTCAGAGGATCGCGAGGTCTCGGAGGGGTTGAGGATCGCGTTGTTTATATATATATATATATATATATATATATAAATTTTTCTGCTTCCTGTAGTAACAAAAGAAAGTTACAATTATGATCATCATTATATATATGCACTCTTCTCATTAGCTAATTACAATCTATTGTATATATTTATTTTAATTTTTTGCTTATTTTCTTAACATGGCATTATTTCCATATAAACTAAATGGCATGTGAGAAGTCATATTTCTGGCTAGTAGTATTTAAACCTTACAAACTAGTATATCCCTATTTTAATGCATTATTTATATAAAAAGGCCGCTACCGCATTATTTCAATTATCACGTGTCATTTCACTAACTACTTTTAACTTGATTAATTATTTACTGTGGCACAAAAAATGTCGATGATTAATTATAGGGAGGAGATTCAGAGAATCAAAGCTGCCCAGCCTGACATTCCACACCGTGAAGCTTTTAGCACTGCAGCAAAGAATGTAAGACATGCGCGCGCGCTCATATATATATTATATATATATATGTTTAATTTCAATGTTTGCTAAAAATGCTATATAGCAGTACTGAAGGTCATCTAATTATAATTAACTGCAGTGGGCTAAATGCGATCCTCGTGCCCTCTTCTATTCAGCTACTACTGCTAGTGGCGCAAGGAGGCCGGCAACAACAGCCATTCAGCTGGTATATAAAATTATAGAAATAACAAACTTGCTAGCTAGTTACCTTATAAGCCTATTATTGTTCTAGATTGAATAACATTTATTCTTTCATTAAATACTATAGTGAGGTGTAATTTTGTAGGAGAAAAGAAGCGGAGTCCCAGTGGCCGAAAGCTTTGATGTCTCCAAGAATGGACAACAGCGTCGCATGGAATAATAAACTACAACTTATATGTGCTTTCAGTCGTATATATATGACTTGGACTTTATTAATTTATGTATGTTTGATGGATCTAATTAGACTTCTCTACATTTGATATAGCATGCATGGGCATTTTCTCAACATATAATATGCACGGGGCGTATATGCATGTATATAGATAGATAAATAAATTCTCTTAGTTATTATAGCATGTAAATCAAATAGCAAAAACCGACATAAAAAAAAAGCTTGCTTTAATGAGAAAGCTAACAATATATTATTATACTTACTTATGGTTAGCTTAATTATTATTATTTCAATAACTGTTAAGTGTTATGATAAGTGATCATTCTATGTGTGTGTATAAGAAAATAATAATTATAAATAGCTAAAATGACAAATACAAAAGATGATAAGAAAATCAACAGAAAGGCGAAGAAATGAAGGAAAACCTAGCCACGCTTCTTTTTACTTTTAGATACACATCATGGGAGAGGATAGATTGAAAGATAATCAAGTTATATATATATATATATATGTGTGTGTGTGTGTGTGTGTGTGTGATACCATCACATGAACTTTCATTTTCCCTTACCAAGTCACATTTTAATTATATTGAGGGAGTGAAATGTGGATTAAGTCCTCCCATTGAATATCATCATCAAATCAAGTAAAAATAGTTGAAATTGCAAGCTGAACTTGGTCATGCGGAGAAAGTAGCGTTGTGATGCATTTAGTAGATAAAGCTTGCATGAACAGAGTGGAGCCTTTTTTAGTATTATTCGCCTCAGCAGAAAGGGTGATAAATATAGTGTCTCTAGAAAATAGAAAAGAGAAATATGTGGCAGAATTACTTCGTGAACAAATCAACATCTAAAGATTGATCATAAGTTTTAACTAATTGAAGAGATGTATGAGAGATTAACAAGAGCTTAAGCACCATTACTAATAATAGAATCATCATTGGTATAAAAAGGTAAACCAAAATTATTGACCTTCAGTGGGAAAGGAGATCTACTAACCGAGAAGATAGATCTAAACTTTGATGTTTATGAAGCTGTTAAAGACTAAGAATGATGTGAATTATTTTGAATATGGAGCTCTTTATTCTTATTATTAAGAGAAAGATGAGCAAAATCCTTCTCAACGACTTGGACAGTTTTTTGGAATCTATTTGATGTGAAGGAGCCCCTTTGATTAACAGCATTTTGATGTTATATTTGAGCATTATCTTGGCAATTTTCTTACAAATACAGATGATATGTTAAGCAAGACATTGTAAATACACTAACACAATATCTTCTCAAAAACACTTTTTGCCAATAGCCTCTTTCTTGTAAGTCGGTCCAAACAATATCTGAATTATTTTAAATCATGTAAATTTATAATAGGAATTTAATAATTAAATATCTAAAAATAGAAGTAATAAAAGAGCCAACCCATTGAGAGTTTCAAAATAAAAGCAAAAGGAGGGAGAATAAATTTATTAAACAAGTGTACTCTTAACTACAAAAATACAATCAATCCATATAAGAACATTAATAGATTCATTGGAAAATCCAAAGTTAAGGAACCATTCTAAATCTTCTTTATAAAGCCTTCAAGTATCAATATTTTCTTAAAAAATATATCTTTATAATTCTCAGTACAAGAAAATTTTAAGAATGTATGATTATGATGAAGCAAAATATATAAATTACCCAAATACAATTTATTGAAAAAATATATAACATAAAAAATGTATCTATTTGATTGTAGAACAAGCATGCTATCCATGAATTTTTTTACCAACAATCATTTTAGACAACCTAATAGTCTCTAAAGTACATCATCAAGTACAATGAGAGGAGGTTTATCTTTGTAATAAAGTGCAAATAAGAGTTATAAATTTGAGGATAAAAATTGTAGAGTGACCACACTACTAATTGAATTCAAAAGGGGGTCAGAGGACACCATAAAAACTTCAATAAAAGATACATTAAATAAGGACATTGAATGCTTGATAACACCAGAATCAATCAGATAAGGATTTCCTTAAAGGGCGACAAAAAGTTGTTATTTAGAATTGGAAAAAAAATGGACATTAGCACATCAAGTTGCTAGCACCCTAAACATTGTAAGATAAAGCTTAACCAAAGAGATGAAGTTAGATTTGCATAAACCCAAAGTAGTAGACATGAGGACTACAGTTTATGAGGCAATACTATGAGTGCAAAAGAAAAAAAGAGAGGCACTAACTCCTATAGTGACGCCAAGATGTAGAAACTATAAGGGAGGCTGTGGGATATGTTATGTTAAAAAATACCAACAACCAAAAAATATAGTCTAATGGGGAACACGAAGAGGGCAATAAGAGGGTTTGGTGGCCTAATATGACACTAGCCATCTAAGAAACGAATCTTGAAGTAGGACTGAGGCAATTTCCTTAGATTGATTGCTACTAATGTAAAAATTAATTTATTGTATAATTAGAAAATACATGGTTAAATTTTACTCCAAATATAAAAATAGAAAATGTGTTTATGAGCACTTAAAATAGTACATCAATTGCTCAAAGAATTTGCTCTCTACACTATAGGAAAACTGTGGATTAGAGTTTGAATTAGCGTCAAAATTTATTTTGGCAATAAATTAGCATATGATTGGTGTTTGTTTAGCATTAGCATCGCGTGTGTTCTCTATAACAAAATTATCGATATAGACAAGTTATGATGAGCTGGCAACATTAAATCAACATTGTAGCATCGGATTAGCGTCGACATTCCTCGAAGCTAACCCTACTTATTAGCATTGGAATTAGCGAACGCTCATTCTGTTGTTAATTCCCTAAAATACCCCTTGGTTGAACATAAGCTGTAATTCTCTGTTTTCTTCTTCCCCTTCATGAATCTGTCTCCTCCAGCACTCCTCCATCTCCCACCTTAGTTTATGGCATTTCTGGCTTGTTTTCAGCACTCAAACTTCGTCCAATGTGAGAAAAAAATTATCCACCTCCGACACTCTTCATAAGATTTGCAATGCATAGGTTTTAGATATGAAAAAACATATGCATCGTTCAAGTTTTTTTTTGTACTTTCTTGTTAGATATGCAATGCATAGGGATTATATGGTTTTAAATAAGATTTGAGTATTATGTGCTTGAATATAAAATTTTAGGTGTGAGATATGTAAGAACATAAGAATTTTGTGTTATATGTAAATGCCCCCAAAAATTTAGTTCGATTTAATATTTTAAGCTTTAGGATTTAGTTTAATTATTTATGATTTAGAATTTATAGCTTAACGTTTTATGTCTTTTTTGTTAAAGATTTATGGTTTGTGGTTTTGGGTTTATGAGTGTTAGAATTTTTTTTTTTAAGTTCATGATTTTGGGATTTCGGGATAGGGCTTAAGTTTTAGTGTTTAATTTTCAAGACTTAAGGGTATTTATTTGTTTTTTTTAAGGCTTATAAATTATGGTCTAGGGTTTAAGTAATAAGGATTTAGTGTTTTAGGGCTTAAATCTTATGATTTGGCTTATTCGCATCGTGTAGTTTTGTAGTGCAGTGTCATCATGCTATAAATTTAGTGTTGGGTTGTCATGCCCAATGTGAAGGCTATATAAAGACTTTTTTTATGATTTTGGTTTAGTGCTTAATATTTAAATGTTTAGAGCTTAGGATTTCGGTTTGCAAGCAACATAAGGATTTAAGTCATTTTCGTTCTGGTTTTGTTTTTAAAGAAGTTTGTGCTATGTATGTAAAGGAGTTGAGAACAGTAAATGTACACCTAAAAAGATCAAGGCATGTTGTATCAAAAATGAGCTTAATGTATTAGATTTAAATGAAAAAATATGAGTTTTTTTATGACACTCAGTAGGACGCAAAAACGTTGTACTGATCTACAGAGCTGCATCTATGATACAAATGAGTATTCAAAATATAAGATCATTAATGTATAACATATTATATCTAAGAAGAAAAGTACTTACTGAAGAATTTTTGACTGATGTTGAGGAATTTGTGCAGGCGACCTCACAACTCCTTATTTATCTTTCAAAAGGTAGGTTCTGATACCCTTGTATAAAGCACAAGAATCAAGGCTTTTCTGTGAAACTCAATTCCTATGGCATAGTGAATGTTAAAGCTATCAGGGTCCTTATTGGGTTTTCGCAGCCTTTGAGGAAACGAAGGTGGAAGCCTTTCAATAGGACCAATCTAAAGGGTAGAGAAAACTTTTCCAAAAATTGATTTCACAGGAGTACTTTCTTCCTTTTGTCTTGCTCCCATTTCCTCTCCAGTCCTTACTCCGACTACATTGCACTACTCCAATTTTTTATCTTTTAGATTTACCTCAATATTATTAGGCAAGGCCCTTGGTTTTCCAATTTTTAATGGATAAAACTTAGCTATGTATGGTGTTCCTCATTTGAATAAGTAATTCCTCAATTGGTGATTTCTTTTGGACGGGTTGGGAATTGTCTTGGAATCCAGATGGATAATGTTGAAATTTCATCTTAAATTAATAAACATAAATGTAGTTTAGTAAAAGAGGCCTTCCTTCACCTCCCTTCGTCCTCCTTTGACTTCATTCGCCTTTATTCGCCATCCATCACCCCTTTTGCTCACTTCTTATCATTCCATGCCATTAGTGAGTTATTTTATAAATAGTTTTGAGTTTGTGTGGTGAGTTTAAGTGTGAATTATTCTCTAAGAAGTGTTGGAGAGGAAGAGAATTGAGAGATTTCTTCTTCCTACATTTCCTAAGAGAGGCTACAAGGGATTTGTTTTGAGAAATAGTTTCACATAAGTGTTGTTTGTTTATTATTGTTGTATTAAATTTCTTTTATATATGAAATTTGTGTTTTGTTGTATCTTTCTCATGAAGTCTAAGTTGTTTCCTTTATCTTTCTCCCTACTTTGAGGTATAGTGAAAAGAAGAGATAATTCAGATATCCCAATGTTGAAATTTAAAATAAATTGTGATGGTTTTTCAACTCTGCTCTTAATTTATTTTTTGATATAGCTAATTCAATTGTTAAAATATGTTATGAAACATATGATCTGAAAAATGGAGTATGAGTTCTATAATAGAGTGAGAATCACATTTAAATTCATGAATGAGTATTTTGTTCATGGAATTAAGTGTAAATAAATAGGGAAATATACTTTGTTGGGTGTGGAATTG